TTTTTTCGAAAAACTCTATTTATTCTTTTCTTGTTGAATACTTGTTAATTAACTAATTAATCTCACTGAGTCAATGTCATTTGTTGGTGGGTGGGTGGGTGGGTGGCTGTTAGGTGTGAAACAGTCGATTCTGCCATCGCCAATATAATAAAGCATTTGATAATTTTGCCTCCACATTCCATACCGACACAAGAGGTAGGGTCGACGAGAGTCCACTTGGTTGTTGCTATCTTCATTTGTATGTATATGATAAATGTCTCGCTTTTGAGTTTAAAGATGAATGTTCATTAAAATTAATTTAGTGCGCAGGATTGATCTATCATGAATGTTTATTCACGGTACACGTGTCCATTTGAAAGTCGCATTTAAATAATTATTTGATAATGATTTATTTTAATTTATTTAAACACGATACAAAATCTAGTTAACAAATTGGCCTTGAAATGTTGCACTCGACAGATTGTAATTAGTTTGATCCAAAACAAGTCGAGAATTAGGATTATTTTTTTTAAATTCATAAATTAGGTGTTAATTAGGATTTATTAAATCTGTTTAAATTCTATCTAATTAAGTAATGAAAATAACATCATTTACATTAATAATGGGAGAGAAGATTTTTCCGGAAACAAAATTTCCATTCTCTCTCTGTACTTGTTCATCTAAATCTCTCATACTTTTTCTCTCTCCCAGAAAATTCCATCATTCACATTACTTTTTCTAGAAACACAATTTCCACTCTCCTTATACTTTCTCTCTCCAAATCACGCGACCCCCTATATAGCGAACGTACGATAATCGGTGTTTTCGAAATTATTGGAGGTGGTGGTGGTGGTTGATTGTGGTGCAGGTGGTGGTACTAGTGATAGTGATGCAGTGTAGGTGGTAGTGATGGGGGTGCGTTGGAGGAGGTGGTGGTGGTGGTGGGAGTTCCTTGTTCAATCTATCGACTGGCTTGCTGTTTTGGGTTGTTGTGGTGATGGGTTATAGTGCTGGCCTGTCGTGTGTGTGAATTTATTTGTGGTGACCCTTTATGATTAAGTTTGCGTTAATTATCGATTGTAATCAAGTATGTGTTAATTGTGACCTATTGTGCATGTATGTATTGTTGTGTTGGTTCGTGGTGTGCGGATTTTTTTTGTAGTGGCCGTGACTAAGTCGTGTCAATTGTGACCTGTTGTGATCAAGTTTGTGATAATTGTAACTGATTGTGAATGTGTATGATCGTAGTACTAAAAATGTTTCGTATGATCGTATTACTCAAAATGTTGCAACCACCTCACCGCCATCACCACTACACAGATCAACTCCAACGCACCATCATCTCCCACAACGCACCATTATCGCCACCACATAAATCTGTTTTCTAAACACAATTATCACCACACCACTGCCACCACCATGCACGTCAAGTCTAACTCTCCAACATAACCTGCAATGCATCACCATCACCAACGAACCACCATCTCTTCATAAGGGATCTCAATATGATTGCTTTCATAGTTGTATATTATATATTATTATATTGTGTTTATTACCAAACGATCCATTAGCACCAGCTCACTCTATTCGATTTATTAAACATGTATTATGACTAGTAACTTTTACTGATAAAGTGTTTTTATATTACTCAAATATCTTGACAATGTAATTTGCAAATATATCAATGAGAACTTGTAGTTCTTTTTTCAATTATAGATTAAAAAAAAAAAGCAGAATCATACCATTAAATTTTAATTCATTTTTTCTTCTATTAATAAAATAATATTATACATAGTCCAGTTATTATCATTACTTTTTACCACACATTCTAAAAAATACACTATTTTAAAATCAATTTTTTATTCGAATAATGGAACTTTTGTTACATCAAATCATTCATTTTAACTGCCCCCATTAAGGGTGACATAATAAACAGTGTATAAAATTTCAAATCAATAATTGGCTCTAGGTCCTATTTTGAAATTATAGGGAGTAAATTATATACATGATTGTGACTTAAGCAATATATGCCCCTCTTTGATAGAGATTTTAATTTAAGTCAAATTTGAAAATTAATTTTAATTACATATTTTATGATAATCGTAACTTTTCAATAACATATTTCATCAATTTTTTCAAAATTTACTAAAAATTTGATTTTGGTTAAAGTTTAATCATAATCATTAATTAGCACACGTACTTAATACCAGGGTGTAATAGTAATTTTATAGCATTCAGAAGAAACTGATGATTAAATTCCATGAATCTTCCATTATGGAGATCATCTTCAACTCATGACAATCATGAGTTGTTCTGCATGCTAGAAAATTACCCAACCCCTTATGTGAGTTGTCGTGTATATGCAGAACAACTCGACAATCATTGATTTGTTGAAGTACCAAAATGCACAAACTATAATTGTTTTTTTTTCGAAGAAGCTAATTATAAGTTTTTCTCAAACAAAGATATCATGTTCATTATTAAGATTGTCGAGTGAAATATGTTTATCACTGACAACTACATTGTTCACCAACATTCATACAAATTAATATCGACACGAAGCCTAAAATACACATCCCCTTCGAAAGCATCAGTCATCAAAGTGGCAATCCCTCGAGCCATGAAAAAGTCACCAGTTCCACCAATAACAGATATGTCCCTAGTCTTGTTAATCAATGGATCAGCCCCAGCAAAGTTCAAGGTTCCAACATGCTTAGTAGAATTGAACAAAAATGAGAATCCGAGCCATGCACCGTATATACTTCTCTGATCGTAAAAGTACATCCCTTGTGCCCGACCCACCGGAGGTGAATGCAAATTGTTGTCTAAGGTAATGGGATCGTCGAACACAACTAGATCACCAAAATTAAATGGTTGCGCCATGGCAGTCTTGTTGCCCCATGCCGGAGACCCAACTATGGCAGCAGTTGCATTGTTGTAATTATTCCCTTTGAAAAGTATGTCGTGAAAATAGAACACCAAATGGTTGCAAGGCTGGCGAGGGCGGGGCTTTTGGCCGTAGGTGGCGGAGGAGGTGGAGGAGAGGAAGTAAAGGAAAAGAGCTACAATTTGTGCTTTGGATACCATAATCGGTTAAATACAAGTGGGGAGGAGACTAGTGTTAATTTACATTTCTCTAGTGTTTACTCTAGTCTCATTATATAGGGTCAGATCTTGGGGTGGCCAGGGTTGGTGAATGATTGTAGCTTTATGTGAATTGAAAAAACTCATTAAATAAAGTGGACCACCTTTTAACATTGATTACTTTTTTTTAAAATCTCAATAGATCAATAATTAATGAGAGATTAAACGAAGAATAATACTATTGATCTATTGAGATTAAACGAAGAATAATACTATTTGCAGTCGCTCAATGCAGCAGTCGACGCATGTGATACACACGTCAAGTGTGTATTTAATGCATTAATGTGGTAAAAAAATTACTACATTAATGCATCAAATAACTATATCATATGAGTGTCACATATGTCGACTGTTGCAGTGAGCGATTATGAATAATATTACTTTTAAACGAATATGCTTTCATACATCTCTTTCGAGACTCTATTATCATCTTTGACCTTCTAATTTTTATTGGCTCTAGCTTGTTGGATCATACCTCTTAAACACTGTATAATACAGGTAGACGCGATGATTATTACATTCAAATTGGCTAATTTATATTTAGCTGTATATGCAGAAAAATTACTTATAAGTAAATAAGTAAGTTCTAATAAATAACTTTTTATTGATCGAATTTGGAAATAAGTGAAATAAGTTGCTCACGTCAAAATTATTTTCAATTTATCGTCAAAATAAGTAACCTATTTATTTACGACTAAGAAAAAGTTATCTAAAAATACATGAAAATAAAAATTTACTAAAAAATAAAGTTAAGTTACTTTTAAGATTAGCCAAACTCTTGGAAGTACTAAATGTCTATACCACTTTTTTTTTTTTT